ACTGGTGGCAGTGGGGGGGCTGCGCTGGGGGCTCACTGGTGGCAGTGAGGGGGGCTAACCTGGGGGCTCACTGGTGGCAGTGAGGGAGGCTGAGCTGGCCATTGCTACGCCCGCTCTCAGTGTGGTAGGGGAGCTACTGTGGGGGGGCCTCCCTCATTTCTTCTTTCCTTACTTGCAGGGGGAGATTGGCCCACCTGGTCCCAGGGGAGAAGATGGCCCTGAAGGCCCAAAGGGTCGCTCAGGTCCCAATGGTGATCCTGGTCCGCTGGGGCCCAGTGGGGAGAAGGTTGGTGATGCTGGATGCTGGAGCACTGTCCTGGAGGGGTCTGTGCTCCATAAATGCTTTAGACAGGCCCTGCCTGCCCCTGCCCTGGGACCCCGGGGCAGCGTAGGGGTGATGCCTGGTCAGGTTCTTGTCTGCCCACCCAGGCCTCTTGCCCTCATTGACTGTGGTAGATGGACCGAGCCTTTCTGGTCCCGAGTGAGAACCCGGGAGACCTCTGGCATCGTGTTGGAGAAGCTCCTTCCTCCTGGTGGTCGTGAAGCTTGGGGGTCTGAGCCCTGCCACACACAGTCGAGGACCCCTGTCCTTACTGAGTTCCCACCTCCACTCCGGGAGAAATATCAGTGTCCTGATCTCAGCCTGAAGGCACGGCAACCTGGTGTTACCTGCCTGCCTGCCCTTTGGAGCTGCCAGAGGCTCCCCAGGCCTCCCCAGGCCTCCCCAGGCCAGCAAGGGGAGCATATGGAGTGGCTTCCAGTGCACCCTGCCCCCATGGCGAGAGTGTCCCACAGTTGAGGAATGTCCCCTGGGGCATTTACCTGCAACCACTTTCGCTTCCGCAATGGCATCAACCTTGTGGACGTTCGCTTCTATGTGGGTACAGGACTGATCAGATGTCCTCTTCTGTCTCCTTCTCTCCTGGTGCTTGTGATTCCATCCCAGAGGACAGGCAGGGCCCCTCTGAGAGCTGCATCCCCCTCCTGCCCTGCCAGGTCACACGGGCTTTTTCTGTGTTCAGAGCAAACAATTTGATTAATACCACACTCACTGTTAACACCACTTTCTCCCCATGTAGGGAAAACTCGGAGTTCCAGGACTACCGGGATACCCAGGAAGACAAGGGCCAAAGGTAACTTGCAGCTGTGGGAGGTGTCCCAGCACGTGTGCACTGTAGGGACACTCTGCTGGCCCCCTCCCCGCCCTGCACCTGCTTATCCGCTCTCCTGGGTGGATCGTGTGATGTTGAGGGGTGACCCGCTCGCCGGGCCTCCCGAGTGTTAGTTTGCCAACTTGAAGGGAGGTGCTTGGGTGACCAGTGGGGCCTTGCTGAGAACGGGACAGAGCCTGCCCAGGCTGTGGGCACACAGCACTGCAGTCCTCCTGGCGGCCTCTGCACCTGTTGCTCAGCTGGTGGACAAAGGTGGCCTTTGTCCATACCCTGAACTCCTTAAACAGTCCTCTCAGCTCTGCCTCACTGGGGCGATTTGAAGGCTGTTCACTTGTAATAGAGTATGAAAGAAAAAGGAAACCTTTCTTTCATGGAATCATGTTCAGGTTTAAGTGAAACAGGTCCTTAAGGCTTTGGAAATCATTGAAAACGTTTTTTTCTTTTTTCTAAATCCCATGTTTTATTATTCATGGTTTTGCCTTAAAAAATAACCAGCTGCCTGCGCTAGAGACATAATTAGCAGCAAGAGCAAGGTCTGACCCTTTCCAGATCGGCGAATGTGCCCTTGGATGCCTCCCGTTAGCCTCCTCTGCCTTCCGTCCTGTGAGCGAGGGCTTGTTAACACAGGTGGCCAGGCGTGGGCTGGCCAGGACGCCCTCCAGGCCTCTCCATTCCATATCCGCCCTTCCTGTGGAATACTAATGCTGGTGCTGTGTGTGTGTGTGTGTGTGGACACGCACCCCGCGTGCAGCTGAGGCAGTTTGGTGCCGTGTGTGTGTGTGTGTGTGTGTGTGGACATACACCCCGTGTGCGGGAGAGGCAGTTTGATGCTCTGTGTGTGTGTGTGGACATGCACCCCACGTACAGGAGAGGCAGTTTGGTGCCGTGTGTGTGTGTGTGTATGTGTGGACATGCACCCCACATACAGGAGAGGCAGTTGGCTATTACCAGGGATTTTGTTTCCTATGTAGCTTTGAACATGGCTGTGTCATGGGTAAAGAGAGGCCGATGGGTTCATCTTTCCTCTTTAATACATGTCCCTTTGGGAGAGAAGAGAAGTTTGAGAGATAGGGCATGTTGTTCAAGTCCTCAGGACAGTGGCCAGATCCGGTGAAGGGCTGGCGTACACAGTGACACAGGTCCTGGACTGAGCTGTGTTACCTATACCAGGGTTTCCTTAGTCTAGTCTCCTGTGCAGATTGGCATGTGGCCATGCACATGAGCTCAGTCCCCTGTGAGAGACATGGAGCTGAGAAGTCTGTAAGTTCTTCACAGATGTGGGCTCAGAGCTCAGGTCAGGTTAAGCCCCACAGAGGGGAGAGGCCTGCTGGGGACTAGCCAGTGTGACATTACGGGCAGATGGAGGAGGGCTCAGGGTTTCGCTGTGGTGCTTGGTGCACCTTCCACCTGTGGGAGGTGTTTGGATATTTGCCAGATAAGAGTCCTTACGCTCACCTTTCATCTGTACACACCTAGATTTCTAGGGCTAAATAGCTGTTAGACGCTGTCATGGGGCCATGAATTTGTATTTGTCTGGGAGTTGCTGTGCTGTATTTGGAGATACTGTGGGAAGACCACAGAACGTGGCAGCAAAGCACCACAACGTGTCACAGAGTGAGACTCGTCTCACTAATCTTGGTAGCCCTGTCCCCTTTTCTTTTGAAACACCAGCCAGTATTTTACAGACATGGCGTGTTGGGGGACAGTGGGGAGAGAGGAGCGGAGGCCTGGCTAAGGCTGTTTGGGTTTTTAGATGTCAAGTCTGAGATGCTACGGAAGTAATGTTTAGAGTGGGTGGGTGGGTGGGTGCCTGGACAGGTAGATGGAGGGGGGCGGGTGGCACTGGGGTCAGAGTCTGTGCACTATCACACGTGCCCCTCCCCCAGCTGGCAGGTGCACAGTGATATCCTCTGTGACTCTCTTTCAGGGCTCTGTTGGATTCCCTGGATTTCCTGGTGCCAACGGAGAGAAGGGCGGCAGGGTAAGGACAGCCCGGCCACTGCTCAGTGGCTGGCTCAGCTGCCCTGGTGGGTGGCAGCTGGTTCTGCAGTCAGTGACCTGGTTACTTCTCACCCACCTGGCTGCCCACGCTGTTCCCTGAGAAGCACCTCAGTCCAGAAGGCTCTTCTAGGTCATTAGTAGAAAGCAATTCCTCCTCCCTTTCTACCCAAGTGGACTTTTCTTCCAAGCTATTTTTAAAAGCAAAGAGAAAAGGAGTTTTCTTTTCTTTCTTTTAATGTCCCAGTGCCTCCCTCCCCAGGTCCCAATTCAGTCATTCCCCGTTAGCAGCTGGCATTGTTGTGAGCCCCCACCAGCATAACACATTTTGTCACCCCCGTTCTACCCCCTGGGTGAGGCATGTGGGGGCTGGGCAGGGCAGCTGTGTCCTCCCTGCTTCCGGAGTCCCTGCTGCCCAGAACACTCCTTAACAAAGTCACAGTGCCTGAGCGTGGCAGTCGAGAAGACAGAGCAAGATGGTCACCTCAGGCCTTGGACTCTGAGCTGGCCTGAGAGGTGGGGGTGTGTGCTGCCTCAGAAGACGGCAGCCTTTGCGGGCACTGCACACCCAGCCCTGAGCCCGAGGCCCACCAGCCCACCCTCCCAGGCCCCTTGCTGTTCTCCTCACACACGGAGGAACAGGGCTGCAGAGCCTCCCCAGGCATGCGGCCTCCTGTGAATGTTGTGTTTAAAGCGGAGTCCACACACTCCCTTAGGGACAAAGAGAAAGACTTCAGGACAGCCAAGACCTCGTGAGCAAACGTGTTTGGCCAGATTCGAAGAACAGGGAAACAAAGGCTGTTCTGAGCACATGTGCACAGCCCGGCCCTGGGCCCATCACCCCTGTGTCTGCCACCCACTGCCACATGCCTGCCTGCCTCTGTTTAGCTGTCTCTCTGTTCATCTCTCCACCCGTCTCCTGTTTACCTGGTTTATCTCTCTCCGTCTACCTGTTGGTCATTCTCTCCTCTAGAGATGGTCCGACTGGTGTCTTGGGGAAAGGCTGTCCTCTGCACACCCATAGGCACTGCTCTCACACCAGAGCCTCTCCCACCACACTACAAGGAAATAATGTGACCTTCAGTGGCCAGCAATGCGAATTTACCACAAACACTTCCCATGGAGGACCACAGGAACCAGGGGCTGAGGCCCCCTTAGGTCACATGGAGTCACTGGAGACTCCACTGGCCACATGCTCTGCCCTTGGGCCCCTTGGCCTCACTGTTCCTGAGCTGGGGTCTGGACAAATGCTCTGGCTCCCTCAGGGCACAAGTGTCTGTTGTCCAGGGCATCTGCCATGTGGGTCACGAGGCAACATAGAAAGCCTGACTCAAGCCACAACCTGCCAGGCCCGGCCAGGTGCCACAGACCCCAGCCACAGATGGGAGCTGCCCAAGGCTGCTCTGGGCTTCAGATGTCCAACCCCGACTGCTCCATGCTCAAGGCTCAACTCACAAGATGGACCTCAGTTGGAGAAGATGAGGCATTTGCTTCCTTGTCAGCGCGTGGTGGTGTGGTTGATCCATGTGGGCTGGAGCCCCGGGCCTCTTCCTCCTCCCTGTGGCCCGTCAGAGCCTCCTCCTCAGCAGGCCCAGCACAGCTGTTGCCCTGGGAGACTTCCAGTCAGATCGCTGAAAAGAGGTGTCTAAAGTGTAGGATGATATGCTGGATGGAGCTGTTGCTTTGTACCACAGCTGGGGAAGGACAGAGTGGCACCGTCAGCATGCTGGGCTGGGTGGCCCTTCCTGGCTGTCCCCCAGGCCAGCCCTCACTGACGCCTCTCGTCTGAGCCTAGGTGCTATCCCACTTTCTGTCCGCTTCCTTGAACTTCATAATCCGGGGTTTCATTTAAAGTTCACTCACTCCAACAGCTCAAGCTTCTCAAGTCCTCCCTATGTGTGGGGCGCTTTGCCAGGCTGAGGGCTCAGGTGATCAACCCGGCCTCCCCCTGCTGTCCAGAGAGCAGCACCATGGGCCAGAATGCACAGGTGTTCCCCTCACCATGAGGGACAAGGGGGACTCAGGGAGCCGTCAGAGGCCCAAGTCTAACCAGGAAGCCCAGGGAGGCTTCCCAGAGACAGTGACATTTCTGCTGAGCCATAGGAGGGATGGCAGTTGGGTAGGGACAGTAGGAAAACAGAGTGGAGTGGGGAGAAGATGGAGGGACAGGGTGAAGGTCGAGCAGGGGGAGGGACAAGGCGAAGGTCGAGCAGGTGGAGGGACAGGGTGAAGGTGGAGCAGGTGGAGGAATAGGGTGGAGGTGGAGAAAGGGGAGAGACAAGGTGAAGGTGGAGAAAGGGGAGGGACAGGGTGGAGGTGGAGAAAGGGGAGAGACAGGGTGGAGGTGGAGAAAGGGGAGGGACAGGGTGGAGGTGGAGAAAGGGGAGGGACAGGGCGAAGGTGGAGCAGGTGGAGGGACAGGGCGAAGGTGGAGCAGGTGGAGGGACAAGGCGAAGGTTGGCTGAGCCCATCAGGGAAGAGTTGTGCAGGGGAGCCTGGCAGAGGCCGTGGTCACTACTGGTTTAGTCAAGGGGAATGTGGGAGAATGATAAAGCAGCTCAGTTCCCCGTGTTGTGGGGGGAATCCGAAAGGGGACTAGAGGGCTCCAGGGTGGTGATGGGGGCTATGCTCTCCAGGGAAACCTTTTAAGTCACTTGGGTGTCCTGGTGTGGGGGATGCATCCAGGTGACAGACTGCCAGTGTGACTAGGCTGCCTGCCTGGCCCTCCAGCCCCTGTAGGACTCGTGGCTGTGCACTGGGGACCATTGATTGCAGGCTGGACATGAAGATCAGGGACACAAGTTGCTGTCTGAAACGGGCTGTAGCTGAGGGTGGAGATGTGAGCAAAGTGACGGCCACCATGGGCCTGTGCCCTGGGCCATGGGGGGGATGCCAGGGGCCCTGCTTGGGGAGAGGGAAGACCAGCCCTTAGGAATGCCCACCAGCCACCTGAAGACGTGTCAAGCGGGGGACATTGGCAAGGTCATTGCTGGGACTGTCCATCCCTTTCCAGCAGGGATGAGAGGAAGGGTACTCACAACGGTTGTTAAGGAGCCTGTTAGGGAGGTGTGGGGACCTTCTGTTCCACAGCTCCAGGCTCCTCAGCTTCGCTTAGTTTACAAAGAATACTATGAGCAAGGTGCCACCTCGGAGGCCAGCGGGCCTGTGGCTGAGGCTCTGCTCCCTGCCAGGGCTCTGATGCCCCTGCATCAGGCACAGGTAGCATGGACAGTCACTGAGACCCATTTGTGCTGCAGGGTTGAGGTGCGGTTTGGTCATTGTGGTGCCGGCTGAGGGGTGTCACTTTGGTGGACAGTGGGAGTGAGGAGACCTGGCAGCCAGGATTTGTCTGGAAGTGCTGGGAAGTCCTGGGTTGGTCACAGTATCCACACAGGCGGAATGTCTGTCACTGGAAGGAGCCAGGTGCTGTGTTCATTTTCATGTGCAAATATTTATTTGAGACTGAAGGATATCACCATGTAATTGAAGCATCAAAAAGCAACGTAATTAATTCGTCACTACAACAGTTTTATTAAACGCATTTCAAGATGGGAAGCTCCAGGAAGCAGCTTTGATTCTGGCAGCAAGTGATGGAAAGGCAGGAAGAGGAAACTCACCAGTGGCCCTTAGTGACACAGATGCATCTCGGGCTCTCCCGTTAGCAGCCAGAATAAAACTTGGGGAGAGGAGCCGAGAGCAGGTCGGCAACACGTCCGCGCTCCATTCATCACCACGCACTGTGCGCCCAGCTCTTATGTCTTTGCCGTGGAAAAAACAAGTGCAGTGCGTTGGTTTCTGTGGTTTGGAAAACTCAAAACAACAATGGATAAAGGAATCCAAATTCTATTACAGCAGAAGCAGAGGACTCTCAGATCTGTGATTTATATGTTAAATTGCAAGTTTGTCGGTGTGCAGGGTCTGTTGAAAATTTAATGGCTAATATTCTTAACTGTAGGAAAAGTAAATTATGTATGAAAGGGGTGGATTTTCTTCTCTTTTTCTTGCAATAATGATTTCCCTCCTGCAGAGAGGGGGAGACAGAGAGGAGGAGGAGGACAGAGGGAGGGATGTGGATGTGGTGGGGAAAGGAAGCCAGATAACAGACTAAACATCTATCAGCCTTCAGAAAGAAAATTGGATTTTCCCGGGGCCTGGGCCAGCATAGAGTGCTGTGTGTTGAGTGTGCCGTGAGCTGCCTCGCCATCTCCTACTCAAACAAAGATAAGGAGGTGGCCGGGAAGGCCTGTGTCCCTCCCAGCCTCCTGGGAATTCAGTCTCTAAATAACTCCGAGGGGGCTGCCGCCCATGCAGGGCCAGGCATTCTGAGAGTGACTTACCAGCCCTTTCTCTGATTCTAGGGGACACCTGGAAAGCCCGGACCAAGGGGGCAGCGAGGCCCAACGGTAACATCCTGTTCTCTTGAGGGCCGTCTTTGGGAGCTGGGAGCACATTTTCGGGAGCATGTGTGGGGCACAGGGACGGCGTCTCCTAGTCTGCAGGATTTGAGCTGACCTCTCTTCTCTCCTGGCTGTCCAGGGCCCAAGGGGTGAGAGAGGCCCACGTGGCATCACTGGGAAGCCTGGCCCCAAGGTATGTGTCTGCTCTCTGTGGGGTGCGGCAGGAACCAAAGCATCTGAGACATGAGGATCCTGGGGGCGGGGTGTGTGTGTCTGTGGCCCTTTTTATTTAAAAATACCACTTTTCCTGGGTGTATTTAAGAAATAGCATATCCCCTCCAGGGGCCTCTAGACAAATAAGATCAAACTGAATCATGGGGCTAAAGGTGACTCTTATGGGGGTGGCTCCTGTGAGCAGAGCAGGACTGAGCTACATGCTAGGGCTGGACAGCAGGGCTGGACCCTGGAGGCAGACTCGCCAGGGGCCTGAAAGCAGCAGACGTCTGGTGTGACAAGTGCCAGGGCCTGACTTGTGCCTGCCCAGTGAGCAGCTGCCCCTGCGGGGTCTGGAACCCACCTTCCAAGTGGCTTCTGGTTAAGGGAGATGTCCTCCCAGGCGAGGTGCAGAGTTGGCCCAGCCCCGGCTGACCGAACGCACCACCCAGGGGGTTACCAAAAATGCTTCCATAGTGAGTGTTTCCTTGGCTTGACACTCACTTGTGAGAACTTGGAACAGCTGCTGCCACATGGGGGGTAGGCCATGAAACATCCCTGTGTCACATGAGTTTTTGATGTGCTTCTTGGCTGGACCACAGCCTTTGTCTGACCCGGGATTCTGCCTTGAGATGTCATAACCCTGTGGATGTCAGCTCATTGTCAGCTGTGTGTGCAGACAGAGGACAGGCCAGCTTTGGGTACCACTGGTCAGCGCAGTCTCTGCCCCTTACTTGAGGGGCAAAGTGACCTTGGGAAACACATACAGCCAGGATTTGACTCAGAAGTTTCAATGAGTTGGGGGCTAGAGTCCCCTTGTCCAAGTAGCTACAGTAAGAAGCTTTTCTCTCTCCTTTCCTCCCAAGGGCAACTCTGGAGGTGACGGCCCAGCCGGCCCTCCTGGTGAACGGGTAAGCATCGTGAGCCCCTGGGGACGTCTCCCAGAAGGCACCTGCTTCACTCAGACCCCTGCATGGCTTCTTGGGCTGGGGTGGGGGTGGGGTGGGGGTTTTCCTGTAATCCTGACCGTGGTCCCCTGGGAGTGAATGCTTCTGCCAGTGAGAGATAATGACCCTGTGCCTCTGGCCCTGGTCATGGGGTTTGCCAGATGACAGCAGGTGGTCCTCAGCCCTGCCCCACCCTGTGGTATTGCTCTGCAGCCTGGCCCCCTTAGCCCCTCAGTGGGCTTCCTGTTTCCGTGTGGTGAGGGAGGGGGGATGAACGAATGGGAGAAAGCTCGTGGGGGGGGCAGTGAGAAATGACGCCTGTGTGCAGAGCACCAGTGACACAGGAGGGCAGCAGTAGGAGCAGCTGGACATCTGTCCTCAAACTGGCCATTCTCTGTCCCCAGGGACCCAATGGACCCCAAGGACCCACGGGGTTTCCTGGACCAAAGGGCCCCCCTGTAAGTAGCAGACTTCCTTGTTGGGTTGGCGCAGTTGGCCCCTTGGACATTAGCCTGTCCTAGACACGCTCGTCTTTCCCACGGGCTCCTCACAGTGGGAGGGTTGGTGGAGGGAGGCTGCAGGTGGGACCCTGCAGGGGCAGCATGAGGGGACCACCCCAGGCTGAGGCTGTCGATGGCCCCTGTGCTGGACAGTGTGTGTGGACGCCTTCCTCCTCCTGGCTATCTTGCACTTCTAGTCGGGGCTGTTTGTGTCCTGGGGATGATGTAGCAGATGACCACAAACTGGGTTGCTGAAAACAACAGAAATTACTCTTTCCCAGTTCTGGAGGCCAGATGTCTGAAATCAGTGTCAGCTCTGGGGAGTGGTCAGCGTCATGCCTCCCCCGGAGTCTGGTGATGCAGCCAGTCCGGGTGCCCCAGGGCCTGTGGACACATCACCCTGACGGCCCTCTCCTGTGTCTGTGTCTTCAAATCGCTCTCTTTATGGGGACACTGGTCTCAGGGGCAGGGGGTGCCCTTGTCCACTGTGACTTCTTCTTGACCTGATTACGCTAGTAGAGACCCTATTTCCAAGTGAGATCTCGTTCACAGGCTCCAGGGGTTAGGACTTCAATATATCTTTGAGTGGACAGAATTCAGCTTACCCTGGGTTCAGTTCATTGCCCTACTACCCCTCTAAAAAAACTCTCTTAACACTGGGGCTTATTACCTAGCAGGGCGTGGTGGAGGGCAGTGCCTGGCAGGCAGCTGGACTTGGTTCTCAGGACCACCTATGCCTCTGCTGGCGGGCCCTTAGGACATCAGCTGGACCCCCTGCCCCATTTCTCCCTGGGAGAGGAGGATGGTGACAGCATGTCCCCCTGTGGAGTGAGGGGCAGATGCTGGCAATGGCACCTGGGAAGGGCTCCTCTCTGATACTTGTTTTTGTCCTCACTGTGACTGTCAATATGGGAGGATGTTCCGAGGGCAAGAGCCATGGAAAGGCTATGGCTTCCGGTGTGGGGTGGCATCCTGCAGGTTGCTCCTCAGGCCTGAATGGAACATCTTTGCTTTGTTCTTTTCTTCAGGGCCCTCCAGGCAAGGATGGGCTCCCAGGACACCCTGGACAGAGAGGCGAGACTGTGAGTATTGTGGCTGGCCTGGGTGCTCGCTGGCTGACCTGTTACCTCCTTGTACATAGCACTGTCTCAACTGCCCAGTGTAGTTTAGGGGGACCCCCTGGCTCAGGGGAGACTGGTGAGCCTCAGAAAGGCTGTCAGGGGCTGGTAATCTTCCATTGACTTGAGGTCAGGCCCTGTGGGAAGGGCCTGGTGTAGAACACCTGTGTAGTGGCCCTGTGACCTCTCTGTGCTGAGGCCCTGTGACTTCTGTGTAGAGGCCTTATGACCTCTGTGTAGTGGCCGTGTGACCTCTGTGTAGTGGCCCTGTGACCTCTGTGTAGAGGCCTTATGACCTCTGTGTAGTGGCCCTGTGACCTCTGTGTAGCGGCCCTGTGTCCTCTCTGTGCTGAGGGCCTGCGACCTCTATGCAGTGGCCCTGTGACCTCTCTGTGCTGAGGCCCTGCGACCTCTGTGTAGTGGCCCCATGGCCTCTCCGTGTAGTGACCCTGTGACCTCTGTGTATGTCCTCTCTGTGAAGTGGCCCTGTGACCTCTGTGTAGCGGCTGTGTGACCTCTCTGTGCAGAAGCAGCTTCCGTCTTTTTGACGGTCTTTGTGATTTTGGTCGGAGCCCACGTTTAAAACCACTAAGAGGCAAGGTGAATCTGGGTATACTGAGACCAGCCTTTGTTTCCCTCTGGAATAACGGCTGGCCTTCCCTGGGCATTTAGCTGAGGACATGCTGGGCAGGTTTGCTTCGCACATTCACCTTTGACCTTGCCCTTGCCTTTAGAAATACAGATTATAGGCAAGGTCAGCACACGCCAAGGACCACACACATTTTGAGTTAGGGGAGAAAGCATTTGTCAGAGATGCACTCACTTCCTGGCTCTGCTCCTTTGGGGATCTGGCTTGGTTCCCTGTAGACATGTCCTGGAAAGGGTGTCGGCACACCTGTACCCTTGCTCACACTTGCAACCTGGACTATCCGGGGACTTGTGGTGCTGGGTGACTTTCTTGTCACTATGCTGTTCCTTCTCTGTGTTTGCTTCATGCAACTTGAAGATGAAGTGCAGAGGTGTAAGCACGTCCCCCAAGGAGAGTGGGGCACATCCGGTGCTGGAGCAGCCCCTTTGTCTCTGCAACCAGTTTCTCTGTGGTCAAAAGCTTATAAAGGACTCTCCTGGCAAAAGCAGGCCCTTTCCTGCAGTGGGCTTTGAATGGCATGTTTAATATTTTCTTGGTACCCACTTTTTTTTTTTTTTTTGAGACAGAGCCTCAAGCTGTCCCCCTGGGTAGAGTGCTATGGCATCACAGCTCACAGCAACCTCCAACTCCTGGGCTCAAGCGAGTCTCCTGCCTCCGCCTCCCAAGTAGCTGGGACCACAGGCGCCCGCCACAACGCCCGGCTATTTTTTGGTTGCAGCCGTCATTGTTGTTTGGCGGGTCCGGGCTGGGGATTCGAACCCGCCACCTTAGGTGTACGTGGCTGGCGCCTTAGCCGGTTGAGCTATAGGCGCCGAGCTGGTACCCACTTTTTAAAAATCCCTTTGTCTCTCTTGGGCTCATTGCGATAAACCTCTCTTAATTATACCTTCATCTGTGTTCTGGACGGCACGTGCCGGCTGGTGAATGAAGATTACTGTACTCTTTTGTTTATAGAGAAAAATTAAAACATTTCTTCTGAGCTTTGCCTATTTTTCTCTAATGCCTTTCAAGGAGACAAGGTAGAGGTTTGCAGATTATGTGCGTTTCCCCCTCTGACTTACTCTGAGAAGAGGCTGGTAAGATAATCAGCTGCTGGTCTCTGCTTGGCAACTTACACATGTACCTTCCTGCTGCCTCTGCTGCGTCCACTCACCTCCTAGATACAGGGTGCCATGGTGATGCTGGTGGACGCCCCCTCCCTGAGACTGGCCGGGGACACAAAGTCTCCTCCAGAAGGATCTTCCCTAAGGGGTTGATTATTTTCTTTCTTTTGAAAATGAAAATATGAGTAGCCTTCACTTCCTTTGAACGTGAGCCAAAGCCCATTCTCAGTGAAGGGTTGAGGACAAATTCCCTCCTCAACCTCACGGATGATTGTGGGCCAGGGAGTGGGGTCTTCCTTGTTTCTGTGGTTAACTCGGACATTAGCGAGGCTTTCTGGTCACTCCTCCCTGGTCCACTGAGCAGGAAGTGCTCCAACCTGTGCCCCAGCCCTTGTTTCTGACCTGTAAGTGTAAGCTGTGGAGAATACTGCATGAGAGATGATCATTCTAGCCCACTGTATGCAACTGGGCCAGGCCTCAAGGAAAGAGCCCTCCTAGAAATTGCAGAGAAGCCTAATCTGCCCTGGGTCGCATGTGTAATTGTCATTGGGGCAACACATGTGAAAACCCTTTGTTCTGCCATGAGGACAGTGAAGCAGTGAGCTGCTAGCCAGGGCCTTGCGGCCAGCTATTTCCTTCTCCAGAGTCCAGAGCTTCCCTCTCAGGCCTCCAAGCCAAACATCTGCATGTCCCTGCAAGTGTCAGGTGGCACCTGCAGATGGCATCTCATCTGACGCCTGCCATGCTCTGCAGACAGTCCCAGAAATTCCTCTTATGTTGCCTTAAGGTTCTCTCTGCTCCTCCCGTGAAAGAGAGTGTAGACAGCATAGCAAGTGCCCCACACCAAGGCAGGCCTGTGACAGCACGTGAGTGCACAGAGCAGAAGTGAGATCCTCCCGCTGAATCCTGCTAAAAATAATACAGCCAGGCTGTCAGGTTATGAAAGCAGCAAGTCCTCGCTCTTGCCTGTTTTAAATATGTGCAGGGGAACATGCTGGCGGAATCACCTGTCGTGCTTTAATGACAAAAGCAGGCGAGTTCCCACAAAGCCACTAATGAGAAACCGCCCAGAGGTAGCTCCCAACTCCAGAAACGGCACCGCGTGTACTCGGAGAACGAGCGCTTGGTGACATAGAAAGATGAATAATTTCAGGACAAAATGGCAGTGGAAAGGCTGCCAGTGACACTGGCTTGTCTGGCTTCATTACCTTTATGAAATTGGTGCAAAACAAAGGAGTCTGGAATATTCTCTATTTGGGGACAGCGTGGGGAGATGAGGGCAGAGCGTGGGCCCCTTCACACTCTCAGTGATTAATTCTCTCTTGACAGGGTTTCCAAGGCAAGACCGGCCCCCCTGGCCCCCCAGGTGTGGTCGGCCCTCAGGTGAGTCGCTACATCCCTGGGTTCCATGGGGCATCCGGTGTCACCCACCTATACAGTAGAGGGGGTCAGTGCCCCCATGACCCAGGAGGCGTGGGTGCTGCTGAGAGAGGACCCTGGGTCCCGTGACACTTGTTAACGTGAAGTCTGCCTCTTGCAGATGTGGGGCCGAGAGGAGTTGTGAGGAGTCACTGAACACTCCCCGTGGCCCCAGAAGGCAGAATAAAGGAAGCTGCCTGAGGCTCTGGGCCCAGGGCCAGACCAGGGTCAGGTTCAGGAGCTGAGCTTTCACCCCAGGGCAGACCCCAGCCATGTCTACTTGTCCTTGCTGTGGGTGTCTGTCTAAGGCAGCCAAATTCTCCTGCCACTAGATCCTATCTGTGCCCTGGGCCTACGGCTCTCACCACCAGCAGGTCAACGAAAGGATTGGCTTACGGCCAGGTTGATGGCTCAGTGCCACGTAACAGGGAAGCAGAGACCTTATTTCTTGGAAACGTCAACCCTAATGTAGGGGTAAACAAGATATTACCCGCTGCAGGACTGAGGGCGCACCGACTTGCAGCCCAGCATGGCCCTGCACCTCCTGCCCCCCCACAACCTCTGCGGTGGCTGATGGGGCTGCCCCTCACTGCACACCCTGGAACACAGCTTGCTGTGCCTCCTGGACGGTGCTGAGCAGGGGAAAGAGCGCCCTGCAGGGCCGTGACATGGAGGCAGGCAGGGGCAGCTTGCTTTGGTCTTTCCCTCCTGGATTTTCACTAGAGGAATGTGTAGGTTGGTGGGCCTGCAAGAAGCTCTTCGCCTCCCTTGTGTCCTGAGATTTGAAAAAAGGAGGTCACCCTCTTGCAAGTCACTTAAAACGTATTGTGACTGATGCTGATTTCCCCCCAGGGTCCCACGGGAGAAACAGGCCCAATGGGTGAACGTGGCCACCCCGGGCCTCCCGGCCCCCCAGGGGAACAGGGGCTTCCAGGCCTTGCTGGAAAAGAAGGGACAAAGGTGAGTTTCTGGAACCTTCCGTATCAAGGCTGGGCTTTTCCTAAGGAATCATTTTGGGGACTCTAGTATTTTCTCATGCTCTTTTCTGGTAAGTGGGTAATTCCTCAAACAAATGCTCTCTATGCCCCTTGCTCCCAAACCCTAAAGCTAGCGCATTGTTTCTTAATTTGCACCAGCGTTGGAGCTGCACCCAGAGCAGCAGGTGCGTGGTGGGGTCAGGGGTCAAGTCTTCCTCACACCAAACCTGCTGGTTTGAAAAAATCCCCTGTGCTCCCATGTCGGACCCCAGAGAAAGGGCTGGAAGGTATCAAAGGATGGCAAAGGCTGTCATGGTGCTTGCTGTCAGAAAGCGTGCTTTCCGGGTAGAAGGAGGTGCCTGGAGTAATGTGGCCGTTTAGGGCAGCGTTTAACACTGTGCTGGCCACGGATTCCTCTATGTGGGCCCAGCCTAGTGAAGAGCCCCAGATCGCTGGAAGCAGTAGGTGCCACCTCAGCTGCCACTCGCCCATTGTGGGTGAGGGCCCTGGAGCTCCAGGCAGCATAGAGGGAGAGTCTCTGGTCGAGTCTGGTGGCCTGGGGATCTGCACACACACAGCCAACCAGCACGAGCTTCAGGGCCTGGGCCACCAACGAGTCCAGTCAGGGCTCCAAAATTTATTTACTGCCAATTGGCCAGAAGATGACCCCAATTCAACCCAAATCTCAGGTGGATCTTGGCATAAAAGTCCTGCACTAGCTCCCAGCAAAACCAATCTCTGGCTCTGTTTCCAGGGTGACCCCGGCCCTGCTGGCATCCCCGGGAAAGACGGCCCTCCTGGACTACGCGGCTTCCCTGGGGATCGAGGGCTTCCTGGTCCAGTGGTGAGTGAGGGGCCAAGGTGGGGATGAGGCTGGGCAGTGTGCAGCCCTGGGGGGGGGGGGTCTCTCCTCGCTTGTCTCTGACCCACATGACTTTGGCTTTGCAGGGAGCTGTCGGACTGAAAGGCAGTGAAGGCCCTCCCGGCCCACCTGGCCCTGCGGTGAGTCACAGCCTCTTGTCCCATCCTCTTCCGCAAAGCTGACTTGGCCGGCAAGACAGTGCAGTCCCAGGAGTGAGAAAGCACAGCTGTGTGTCCCCACCTCAGCTGGTGTGGAGGATGTGGTGGGGAAGGTGGCCTCTGGTAGGGGCAGGCAGCACATCCCGAGCTGGCAGCTGGGTGAGGCGGGTCCCAGGGGTGTGTTGTGTGAGGAAGTGGGAGATGGAAGTCCATGCAGGAAGAGTAAGACAGAGCTCACAGGCCTCATGTGGGTCTGGGCTGGGCCAGTGGGGTGGGATGGACGTGGGTCTCCATGGATACTGAGGGTTCCTCTAGAACCAGACTGCCCAGTCTTCTCGGCTGTCCTTTAAACTAGGTGAGCCCCCCCAGCTTTAAGATACCAACCTAAAAATTCCATGATTCCCAACAATTACCTGTGGTCTTAAGGACTTGGGGGCCATATGGGGGTTCCCCTTGCACCCCAAGTGGCATGGCCACTAACTCTCATCCTCTGATAAGGACAGGTGGAGGGCTGGGCTTGTTGGGGAGCAATGGCCTCTCCGTGTGACCCCTAGACCAGGCCAGGTGTTCCCCCCCAGGGCAATGCCTGCCTCTGGGTGGGTGAGTGGTTTGTAGGCACTGATAGAGAGGAGGGGCACAGAAGACTTGCTCTCAGACATGGAGAGCAGGCCATGTGAGCATGGAATATGGGAGGTAAAGAGCTGAGGGGGCCCTGAAGGCATGGAACCTCCAGTCTGTGCTTACAGAGGGCCACCAGGAGCCACTGTGGGCTCTAGAGTGAGCACGTGGTGCTTCTGGAGGTTGTGTCCAGGCAGTGTGAGAGCTTTTGAAACAAACCACTTTCTCGCTCCATCCCAGGGTTCTCCGGGGGAGAGAGGCCCAGCTGGTGCTGCTGGACCCATCGGAATTCCAGGGAGACCTGGGCCCCAGGGACCGCCAGGGCCAGCTGGAGAGAAAGGGGCTCCCGTAAGTACAGCCTTGGGTTTGGGGGAGCCCTCCCCTTGGAGGCACTGGGGTTGTCCTCATGCCTAGCCTTGCCCGTCCCCCTGTGACATCCCCATGGATATTTTTCTGGGGGGCCTGAGGTATAAGGGAGGTTTATAATCATCTTCTGGGACATGTATATTCCAAGGTGTCCTGAGTGGGGTCCTTGTGCCAGCTTCAGTGAGTGGGCCCAGCTGGTGGCACCATGGGTGAGACGCTGGCCAGGGCTCAGGCTGTCCACACTTGCACATTGGTGTCGAGTATATGCACAGAGTGAGGGACCAGAGCCAGTGTCCCCTGTGGACTTGGTCTCAGTCCAGCCTCTGAGTGCTGTGTGTGGATGAGAACGCTCCTCTCTGCTGGCCCAAACCCATGGCTAGTCTTTTTATGAGAAAGATGGACATTTGGAATGGCCCCTGTGATGTCCATCAGTGATGGGATGAGAGATAGACCATGGGGAGATAAGACTTTGGCCCCTGTACCCACAACAAGCCAACCTCTCAGTGATCTGAAGCTCACAGGTTCTGTGAAGCCTCAGGAGCAGGGAAGGGCGTGTCTTGTGGCCACTGCATGTCGGTTTACACAAAGGAGGTGAACAAGCTCTGGTCCTGCTGAGGCACTTCCCTCCAGCCCCTTCCTAGAGGGCTGAAAAAACCCCACTTAGCACCCAGGAGTGGCTCTCTGGGCCCACGTTGGAGTCCCGCCACGCAGTGCTACAACGTCCCCCTGGGCCAGCTCCGACAGCTCTGGAGACCAATTCCGCTTAGCCCCTCTCCTCCCAACTCAGGGTCCCAATGAGTCTGAGTTCTGGAGGATTCTATATATGTCAACATAGTTGTGTCCAGGGAAGTTGTTGCGAGCAGGTTGACCTGTCTCAAAGGCAGGATCACTGTGTGCATTTCGCTCAGCGGCTCCTGGGTGGAGAGAGCAGCCCACATTCCTGGCCCCCACGGGAGCCACGCTGGGGACACCTGCAGCCCTGGGAATCCATCAGTGTGTCTCTGGCAGCTCTGATGGCATCTCAGTGTCTCCTATGAGGCACCCAGGACTGGGACACCTGGGGCCTTCAATGCAGGTGGGTAGAGGACACAGGATGTCGCCAGGAAGCCAAGTGATCATTGTCTTCAGAGAGTAAATATTGAAGCAGAAACCTAGCAGGAGGGGCCTTACCCAGGGAGACATTTATTCTCCCAGAACAGCTGCAGAGAGAACAGGAGGTCAAGGAGAGGTCAGGGTGTCTCCAGGAGCTCCCAGCCTCACCGGTAATGTGAGAAAGGGCCCAGAAAAGCCTCACGTAGCTGTGGCCTTTGTAGCTTCAGCGAAGCTGAAGAACTGTGGATGGACAGACGCTGATTCGTGGAGCAGAAAGTGCCTTGTGCGGGAGGGCAGGGGGCAACACGATGGGATGGTGATGTAGAGCCAGATCTGCGTTGGGGTCCAAACATCATCCCTCTCCCAGGGCGCACCCCCTCTGTCTGTGAGTCCTCAGATGAAGGG